TTAGGTTTTGAATTAGAGTTTTATATATATAGAGAAACTGCTTTTAAAGAGTTTTATTCTTACACCTAGTTTAACTTAATTGGGTTTACCCTAACTAAGTAAAAACTTAATGTCAATTAGTATTATTTTTTCATATATCATAAATAACACTCTTTCTGATTTTATTTATAAATTTATTTTCAACATGTTTTATCATAATAAAATAAAACCTTATTCATTAATTTTCTTTAAAAACTTAATAATTTTTCCAACTTTAATTTAATTATTCCTATTAAATATATATATATTTTAGTAAAATATTTTCTCTTATAAACATCCAATAGGGATAAAAGAAGAAACTTGTTGATAGAAAATTAAATGAAATACTTTATAATATGATCAAAAAAATCTCTCAACAATTTTTTTAAAAAATCTTTCTCTTTGTATTGTAAATAGAATAGGTGGGAGTGTTTACTATTTTTTTTTTTCATGTGTGCGTATAACATATGAGCAGTTGTGACTATCTAAATTTACATTATATTTATCTTATTTATAAATTCCCATCCCGAATCAAAGTTTTTTATAGGTTATGGATCGTGGGACTTCTCTTTATAATTTACTATATGTCTTGATTTGTACTGAGCTTTGATGTGCTTCTTTAGACACTTTAATTTCTTTTAATGTCATAATTTTCACGTAGCTTTCAACTTTCATTTTGGCTCCCCAATACATTTAGGCCTAGGCCTAAATTCATTGGTGCCGACGAATAATTATCACAAAAAAGATAACTGTGAAAAGGATGTATTTGGAACGTCAAAGTTTCACCACAGCTCACACAAAGAGATCGGCTTTGAAAGGTACCAATTGGACAAGGATGATACGAGAAAAAGCCGAAAACCAAACAGGCTTTTGAGAGTAAGTTTAACCTAAAATTGAGCATTTGTTCAATGAATTATACTCCTACTCATTTGATGCAATCACACATTGTTGAAAGCCACTTGCCTAACCCTACGTCTATAACTGTATCACTATACTCTCTCTCTCCCCCTCCCCCCCCCCCTCTCTCTCTCATTTTTCTTTATTCTTAATATAAAGAACTTGATGGGGGCATTATTACATTTTTTTTTAATATTACCTCTATTTAAATTTATTGTCTATAAGAGAGAATGTAATACAACATTTCAATAGCAGTAAAATTAGTTTATTCTATCTTTAAATAATTAATGATTTAATCATCTCTCTTTAATTACAGTGACATAGTTAAGTGTGCTTTATAATGGGGATCACAGGAAAAAATTTTCTTACATGGACCCGGTGCATTATATTATTCTTGCTCTGTCTAATAAAAATATGTCACGTTAGATGATTGTAAATATAAATCGACGGGTTAAGTAGCAATTTAAATCTTAAATTATAAATTCAAGGATAATTTAAACTTAAATTGACTTTTGATATATTTTATATTTTAAACTATTATATTTAAAATAATTTAACGTCCACAATCAATTTGAACTAAACGTTCGTTACTTTTAAGTTGTGGGGTCAATATATGCATTTGACATATCCCTGTTATCTTTCCCCTCTCCCCCTTTCTATGGCACAACCAATTTTACAGATATTTATTGGCCATTGGAGCTTCGCTTGCCATAATTGCAAGCGCAGTCGCTGGCAACGACCTATGTGGTGGTTCTGGTGAACTTCAAGTGGGTGGAGTAGGTGGATTAGCTTCTTGTCAACTTGTCTGTCTTCCTTTCTTGCTTCTCACCCTCCAAGCTCTATAACAAATACTACAGCATTTTTGATATATGGCAACAAGCAAAAAATATTGCCATAGAGTGACATAGTCAACAGTTTTGGACATAGTCTAGGTGGCTGTTAATTAACAAGGTGAAGATTTTTTCATATTTTAAACCGCAAATCATAAGATTGTTGCTTATAGCAAGACAATAGGTAATGATTTTGGGATGTGAAAATAAACAACGATTTTAGCCTGTTACTTACCATATAACTATAGGCAATATTTAAAAATTATTGTGAAAATATTAAATAATCAAAATTAATATTTTCTTTTTCACCTATGATTTTAAATCCTTTTAAAGTGATTTAAAAATCGAACCAAACCGAATGGTTGAACTAGTCGAATCGTCGATCGATCAAGCTAATGGTTTGGTCAAGCCAAAAAAATTATTTGGAGAGTTGGGCCAGATTGGGTTACTATGAACCGGTGATTGAACCGAAAACCGAAATCAAGTCGAGAATTAATTTTGATTTTCAAAAATTGAATTGTTCAAAAAATACCTCTTTTTTAAATTTTTTGTCTAAATTTTTTATAAAAAATGATCAATTTTTTTAATTATTTAATGTTATATTTTATTATATAATTTATTAAGTTACGATAAACTTAAAATATTTAATTTTATTTTTAAGTTAACTAGTAATTTCATATTTATTTTTTATATTTAAATTATTATATACACATATAATTTTTTAATTTAATTATTACATCACCGGTTCAACCATTGGTCCAACCCAATTAGACCATGTAAATCACTAATCTTTTCAATTCAATATTCGATCTGGTCTTAAAAACATTGCAGTTCTAACATGAATTTTAGTTATTATAATGCAAAATATTATATTATATTATATATATATATATGTATGCATGCATGCATGCATGCATGCTATAGATAATTATTAAATTAAATTTTAAATTTTAAAATTAATAAATAAACAATTAATGAAATAAAATAAATAAGTAAAAGAATATAGATAAGTTAACAGAAAATGAAAATAAATTTTTATTAGTAGAAAAACAATAAGCCACAGCTTTTTAAGTGTTGCCAAAAAGAAGACTTATATGTAACATTTTTTTTATTGCCAAGTAGACAAGGAAAGTTTTAAAATGTTGTAATAAAAGTTCTTTTATATATCACAATTTTTTTAACTTGCTCATTTAAAAATTTTATTTTAACACTTGAAAACTGTTGCATATTTTATTTTAAGAATTATTTTTGAAACTTACTAAATATTTTTTGTTTAAAGTAGGGTTCAATAACAAGACATAAAATTTAATTGGTTATAACAGTCAATATTAAGTTTTGGGATAACATATATTGTTATAACTTGTATTAGTACTACTCACCAAAATTTATTATAAATTTTATATTAAATTATTATTAATAATGGCGTTTTAAATTCTTTCCTATATAAACAAATAAATGTGGTCTCATTTTTGCGGTTTTGCCCCAACCCAGGTTCTAAGTCTTCTAGAAGGGCAAGTCTTCTAGAAACTTAATTCTCTAGCTCTAATTGCTGTACTTAATAATATTTTTTTATAAAGGTGTTTAATAGTTATTTTATTTACATATAAATCCACGTATTCTAGGAGCCTATTGGAAGCCGTACATGTGTCGTTAAATATGTTGTCTTTAAATTATTTGCATATACATTTTATTATTATTTTTTTATAAATACAAATTTAAATGAGTTTAATTTTTAAGAACTCGTCGAGGTTCTAAATTGAGTAAATTCAAAGAATACTTGTAATGTACTTATAAATTATTTATTAAAATTCTCACATTGGTAATAAGTAAAAATTGAATGGTATGTTGTAAATTAAATTCTTACATACCAGACAAATTTATGTTCACTTATACATTTTATTATTATAATTGAATGTTTAATTGATATTTAATGAGAATCCAGAGAGTTTAGGAGCCTGAGAAGAGATCCGTGCGTACCGAATCTGGAATTAGAAAACTAAAAGGCAGAAATAAACAATAAAGAAGGGGCCAGCTTCTAGATCCCTTGTTTTCCCCTTTTATTTTTAATTTCCAACTTGTCTATTTCTCTTAGTTGATACTTTGTAGTCTATATATACGAAAATAAATATAAAAATTATAAATATTAACAGAGTTAAATTCTACTACATAAAATAATTCAGATTTAAATTATTTTCATTTTTAACCTGATATTTAAATTATTTTTGAAAATTATTCAAATAAATAAAATAAATAGCGGTTCAATTACAATTACAAAAAAAAAATTATCATTTAGAAAATGAAAAAATATAAACAACTGCATTTAAAAAATATGAAATGCAAAAAATTGTATTCCCTTCATAAAAAAAGTTCAAAAAATATAAAATATTTTTAATTTTTTAAAATGTAATCATTATATTTTTTTTAAGTGTCGTTATTAACGAATGACTTTATACTCCATTCGTCCCAAATTATAAGGTATTTTAAAAGAAATTTTTCCATCTCAAAATATAAGATACTTTAAATAGATTAAAAATATATTAAATGTATTAATTTTAATACTACCCTACTTCACTATAATTAATTTATATCATCTCTCTTTTTAATATATTAAATAATGAGTATTTTTAAAAATTTATATTTTTATTTTTAAAATATAAAATTTTTAAGTGTATTTAATGAGATTTATTAATTTATAAAATTTTATTTAAAAATATTTTATAATTTAAAATAAAAAAATTATTTATTATAAAATATTTAATAAAAATAATATAAAAATAAAATTAATTTAAAATATATATATATATTTTTTTTATTAAAGAGTGAAATTTTATTAAAAATATTTTATATTAAAAAAAGAGTACGATTTATTACGGGCTTTATGTTGAATATTCATACTGATAATACTAATATTATTTAATTTGACATTAATAATGGCGTTCTTTTTCCATAGACTGGTAAATGTGGTCCTTCTTTGCCCGATCCCCAAGGTGAAAGTCTTCTAGAAGGGTCATTCTTCTAGAAGGGCCATCCCAAAACGAAGAGCGCACCCTCCACGTGGCACTCGCAAACTTCACTTTCCGTGATCTCTCCCCTCCTTACTGAAAATCGACTGCACGCAGTTTTGCACTCAACCCTCGTGCCCTCACTGAATTTACCCTTTTACCCTTTTCTCTTTCCCTCCTTCTGTCTCCCCCTCTCTGTAACTTTCCCTTTACCTTCAAGTGTTTGACCACTATATAAATAGCGCTCGTCTCTCACTTCATTTGCGTTGCCAAGTTCACACCGAAAGCCTACTACTCTTAGAAATATTCTTCCGATTATACCCTTCTCAATGTCCCTAACCCTCAACCTCCCCCTTCCCGCCGGCCAATCACTCCGTTCTTCCTCATACCCCGCCGCATCCCTCAGATTTCTCCGGCGTCTACCTGTAAAGTCCTCAAAGAAGTGCAGAGCTTCGATCGGCGCTGTTGCGACGGAGGCCGATCCGGCGGTGATCGATTCCCGGCGGTCATTGAGTCTATACGAGGTGCTCCGAGTCAACCAGAATGCGTCTCCGACGGAAATCAAGTCGGCGTATAGGAGTTTGGCCAAGCTTTACCACCCTGATTCCGCCGTGCGCCGATCGGAATCCGACGGAAGGGACTTCATCGCGATCCACAACGCCTATGAGACGCTCTCCGATCCATCGGCTAGGGCACTGTATGATCTCTCGTTGAAGGCCGCTCGCCGTAGAAGGCGTCCAAATCTGTCGTCGGTGCGAGATCGCTCTTCCGGGTTCTATACGACCCGAAGATGGGAAACGGATCAATGCTGGTAGAGATGTTTGCATTTGCGTCAACAGATTAATTGTGAAATTTTGATTAGGATAGAAAATGATTGGAAAACAAAATGTGGATTGAAACATTAGGCATTTGGGTGATGAGTGGTTTCCAGAATGCACAGAAGATTCATGATGATGCTTTGAGGAAGGAGAGGGAAAAATTCATGTTACTGATGTTCCAATGTAAATGTTTTTTTATGTTATAAATTTTACATGTTTAATTGATTTATGAAAAAAATTTAAAGACACGGATTTAATTCAAAATTTACTCGAATTAACGAGATAAAATAACTAAATTTAAAATAAAAAAAATTGATATAAGCGAAAGCTTTAATGTAAAAATTGTAATAGTTATAAATAATTACAAATAAATTAAAAAATTGAGTTGCACTCGTACTGCAATTGCGTTTGGCTTCTTGATGGGCACCCCAAGGGTTGGTGGTGTTTCTCACTTGTTTAGGACACCGTTTAGAACGGAATAGTTTAATTCAATAGTATTTTTTTATAATTTTTATAAATTGAGTATTTAAATATTTTTTAAATAGACTGAATTTAATAATAAAATTTTTTAGAAATTTTATTTTAGTAAATATAATATTAAAAAAATAAAAATGAAGATAATCTTCTGACTTTAAAAAAATTTAAGAAAAGTTACAATTTAAAAATTTTAAATATAGACTATGCAATAGTCAATTTATAAAAGTTATAAAAATATTTAATATTAAATTAAATTATTTAAATTAAATTTATATCATTTAAATTACTGATAGAATAGATTTATTATTATTTATAATTTTTATTTTAATAAATATAAAATAAAATATAAAAATAAAACATGTAAATTTGCACCTGGACGATTGATCGTCATGTGATGGTGCTCGCCGAACGGCAACTTCTGCAACCACTGTGTATTTGGAATGGTATATTAAACTTTGACTGCATTAGCGGGCAAGTAATGTGCTTCATGACTTGATCATGCAAAAGGGTAAGAGATGTCTTTTATCCAAAAATACCTATTATCCTTTTTTATCCATTAATTCTAAGAACTTTAGAATAGTGATCCTTTTTGTGGTATCATTTTGTCATTTAACTATTTCAATAGAATTTATTTATTGTTTTTCTTAAAATGGAATCAATTTTTATATATTGATATTGACATGATTACTCGACCATCAAACTTAAAATTAAGTATGCTAAAAAAAAAGGGAAACAGAAAAATGCCTTCACATATGATAAGTTGGTTCGATATCTCTATTTTCTTTTTAAATAAATTTTTACTTTTAACTTTGATCTTTTCTCATAAAAAAAGGAGATGCGTTGTAGCACACAGGATGACTAGTTCTTGACTCACTTTCTTTGAATTGAAAAAGGGCCAAAACCCAAAATTAATTAGAAGTTGTTAATCAGTCCGTAAACAGACACCCAATGTGTCCCATTACGAATATTGGTTTGTCTAAAAATGGAGTATGATTCCAGGCGTGGAAATCACTTGATACAGTAATGCCCTGTTTGGTACAGTGAAAATGATTTTCATAAAAATAAAAACAGATATGAAAATAGAGATGGATATAGAAATGGGGATGGATATGGAGTTTAAAAATATATTTGATATATTTATGGAATTGAGAAATTATTTTTATTAAATATTAATGTTAAAAAAATGATTAAATGTTAATCACTTAGATTGTTTGTGTGGAAATCAAGCAAAAATTGCGACTCATCTGAAATTGCAAAAGTAGCTGAAGAACCTTCATAGACTCAAACCAAGTCAGTCAAGCAAGCAACGACTTCTCGACAGTGGTGGAGGAGGGGGAGGCAAAGATTTTCCCTCCTTGATGTGATCAACGGTCAAAGCTGAAGATGGGTTTCAACAGAAAATCGATAAGGGAAGGGGAAGAAGACAAAGCGACAAGTGGAATTAGTGAGGGAGGAGGTTGCCGATGTTGATGAAGGGAACAAAATGAGCAACAGAGGTTGGAGATTGAATGTTAGAGGTCAGTCTTCACCATTTATGTTGAGGTCAAAGTCATTCAAGAGAAGGTGGAAGGAAAAGAGAAAGGAAGGATAAAAAAAATGAAAAAGGAAATCTAGAATTGCAAAACTGAGATTTTTTGGTGGAATTCAATTCCATCAAAATTGATGGAAATGATTTTCATGTTAAAATCAAATTCAATCTTATTTTAATCAACCAAAAATAAAAATATTTCAATTTCAATTCCATATTTATTTTCACTCTCTCAATTCTATCATATCAAATGGGCCCTAAAGAGAGGTACAGATATGTGATCATGAATCCTATTTTTTGTACCTTGAGTGTCACAAAAGTAAGATTCACCATCATATGTCCATTTTTTTTTTGTAATTGTCCCTCTCATTTTAGGTATAGTTAGTTTTGGAGATTCAATTTATTAAAATTGTGATAGATCCCTGTCTCCTAATGACGCTCCGTTAACTCCCAAATTTCTAATATATGCCCATTAACTTAAGAGAGTCTAGTGGTGTGCATGGAGAGTATCAACTGAGAGAGTACAATCATTTAAATGATGCTTAGATTTTTAGAAAGATTAGTGGTATGGCAGTGTTCTTTTTTGGGCCTGTAATCATATAATTGTTAACAGTGGGAATAATTTGGGGAACAAAAAAAAAAAAACTTTCAGAGTCTAGTCCAAATATTCATTTCAATTGCCCTTACTTTAAGGTAGGAATAGATTATTTGTATAAAATTTTATCTCTTTTCATTGAATTTGTTTTTCACTAAATAAAATCAAATGTAATATTTGATAGGTACAAAAATGTTTTGTAAAATGAAAATGGGGTACTTATCTATCTCATTTTATTAGATAATGTTTTTATTTTATTTTTAAAAAATATTTTTTTCACGTACCAAACATGTAGAAGGTGTGTGTGTGTGTGTTTTTTTTTTTTTTAATTTCAAACATGTAGCTGAGAGCTGACACATGTTCCAAAACAATATCAAGTATGAAATTATTGCTTATTGCAAGCGTGTTTTGACTTTTGAGTTCGTAAATGTTGTACTTTTATGTGAATCTGTCTGCAATTGCAACCAGTTACTCAACATTTAGCTTGATACATCTTGTTTATATATTTAAAATTAAACTGAAATTGAATATGCAAAAAAAAAAAAGAAAATATAATATTTCTTTTTCAACAAGACCTGTTCATACTGAAAAAACAATCAACAAGCATTGGTCCTAATAAAAAATAAAAATTGTGGCTACTTAAACACAGTCACAACTGTATGAATGTAAAAGACATTTTTGAAAGAAGAATCTTCAATTAGGCCTGAGAATACTTACACCCTACTTATCAACAAGTCATTAAAAAAAAAAAACAAAGAGAGACTTCTGATTTTTTTTTATCTTTCTAATAGTGCGACCATTACATATAATTAAATATTTTTTTTTAAAAAAGAAGGTATTATAACCATATACTTAAAATTTGTTAATTTCTTTGGTAAAAAAATTTGTTAATTGCTAAATTTGGAGGGAAAAAAATGAAAAGTGAACAAAGTTTATGAATGATTGCAGTTTTTTTTTAAAAAAAAATACTAAAGGACCAACATCAATATTTATTGTGAAAGACCATAACAATTATAATTAAATTGATGAACAAAAGAAAGACTAACAATGTCTTTTTTTAAAAAAAAAAACACCTAACCAAAATCAGCAATCATACAAAAAATAAATAATTTAAGCATTACTCAATCACATAAAACTTAAAGGACCCGTTTTTTAAGATTAAAAAATAAATAATTTTTAAATAGTTTAGAGATTTTATAAAAAGAGATTTATTTTATAGAGATTTTATGAAAAACAGACAATATTTTATGTTTAGTTACAATACTAAAAAGTAATTATTTGTTAGTTATTTTTAAATTTTATAATATCTTTCTTAATTTTTGTTCATAAAAATGATTTATTATTATATTATTTAAAAAATTTATTATATTTTTACATATCCCACCTCTTTAAAATACTCTCTCTCGTCTATTATATTACATTATTTTCAAAAATTACTCAAAATAACTTATTAAAATAATCAATTTTTTTTGAATTCTGATTAGTTTTAAGAGTTTAAACAAACATCTTAAAAACTTATAAAATAGATTTTTTTTTTAAAAAAGGTGATTTTTTCATGAAATAAACTAAAATAAAAAGGGGTGTTAATGCGAATTAGAATTAAACAGAACGTGAATCATAATTGATCAAGTGCGCACATTGGTTATGGACACAACACTCGCTTTCTATTTCACTGGAACCATTTTGTTTCCCTAGCAATGCATTGATCAATTTGCAAATGCGTTAGTCCTTAGCTTCTTCGGCCTAATTATAACTTTCACGATACCTCACAATAAATAAGATCTTTTACAAGTCGTTCAACATAATTATCCCTGCTTTTTCTTTAAAAAAAAAAAGAAAAAAAGAAAATCATGATACATTAGGAAAATTTGAATTCTTTTTGGGAAAACACAATCCTAAACATTGATTGCGTTTTATTTTTAATCCACCTAATTTTATTTCGTTTCTAGTTCCTTTAGTTTGATTAACCTGCGACATTAATCCTTATAATATTAAAAATGCACATAAAAACCATAAGTTAACACTGATGACTATAATTATATTGCAACTCTTCTAGCCCCTTATTGACATGGTATAAATATGCTAATAATATGAAAATAAATTGACAATGTATGACAAAAAGTAAATGAGAAACTTTTTTAGATTCCACTTAAACCGAATATGGGAGACAAATGCGAGATTAAGTACATATTAATAAAATGAACCCCATAAATACCAACTCATGACCCTTATATGCATTTTTAAAATTATAGGAATTAAAGCTAAAGATGGATCAAACTAGAGGGATTGTAAACAATGAAATAAAACAACATGAACTAAAAACAAAATGGAAGCAAAGTCCAGGGACATACAATATATTTCCCCTTTTTTCTTTTTGGTCCTTCCTCCAAGAGTATTGCCCCATTTATAAGATAGAAAGGCAAGTTGAGAACCGAAAAAAAAATTTAATTGCTGTAGCAGTGTTGTTGAACGAGTGAATTACCTGTCTACCTCATTGAAGACAATTGATCCTACAGATTTGTAAACTTTCCAAGGAAAACTCACTGAGCTTTGTACAAAATTCCAATCGTATTAGCAGTCTGAGATACCAATTAGAGCACATTTCTATAACAAAGAACAGC